TGACTGCAAGCTATCAGTGTTTTTGTGACCACTATGTTGTGCTACAAAGTTTTCTGGGACACCTTCATCTAATAACCTTGAAATGCTTGTTTTCCTCACGGAATGGTTTGTTACTTTAGCACCAGCTTTTTGTGAAATCCCAGCATTCTTGGCTGCTGTACTAAGGAATTTTTCCGATCTGATTTTTGCCAAGTGGAGCCTTCATGTACTAAGTCTTGTCGTTTGGTGATCTCTTTTGTTTTATAGCGAGGAAAAATGGTGCATCGGCTGTGAGCATTTCAACAGGACGGTGATCTCTGAATTTCTTGTACAGCTTAACTGGGCACCTTTCATCGTTTGTAGCGAAGGCTTTTGACTGGAATGCTCTCTGGTGACCCTTTTCCTGCCCGGTTCTAGTTTTCGTTCCCCTCTCTCCCAAACAAACAAGCACTTCGTGCCCGTCATTCGTCGTTTGTAGTTGTACGTCTCCCCAACGAAGTTTTCTACTTTCGTCCCTTGCTCTGAAGCCGAAGTGTAGAGATAACAACCACCAGAGGGCTCTTTGTAATGCTTCAGGACCACTGTCGCCGTACTGGCCAGATGTAAATAACAGGTCTTCCTCCTCGTCAGTCACCGCTCTTGTTGTTTCAGGATTGTTTCCTTTGACTTTCTTCGTGCTACGAGAACTTTTCTTGACTTTTCAAACACCTCATCTTTTAGAATATTGCCTGTGTACTGCAAGTCTTGAAGGTGTCGATGGATACTCCTTTGGTAGCTGCTTAGTGTGTTTGGTTCGTAGTCGCTGCCGTTTGGTTTCTTTACGTTCATGAAAAACTTACAAAGGAGATGGTCTAGCTCCTCTGTTGGTAAGTTTTCAATACGTATATCGCCTTTGCCAGTGCTTTCCATGTACTTTTTGAGAATACTGAGGTCTGACCTTGTTTTTCGGACCGTGTTTTGAGCTTTCTGTCCAGTGATGAAAGTATCAATTTGTTCTTGGCTGTTTGGCAATTCTTCGTTACTAGTAGCTTGATAATCGCCTTGATAAAACGMATTTTCATTTTGGACCTCATCAGGGTAGTAGTATTCATTTTCATCTTCACTCACACTTGACATGTTTTGTTTTTGTGAATTATTTTGAAAGGAAAAAATTTGAATTTTCGAGGAAAGAAAACTTTAAACTCGCGAGAAAAATGCAAAGCTTTCTTCATCCGGGACACAGGTCCTGGTAAAAAATATCGCCCGTGGTCCAGATACGCAAAATACAGACCGMGCGTGAGCCAATCAGATTGCTCTAAAGTGAACAGTCATATAATAAATCTCTAAATAGAGCGGACTGGCCGGCCAGTTCTACCTAAATGGAAAACACCCTTACTTTCGCTATTTCGGGAAGCGCCATTTTGAGCTGATTAGCCGTCTAATTCCTATTTTAAAAGCCCCTAATAGTTTCGAAACAAGACTTCGATCTTGGTGCTTTGCACTTCAACGATAGCGGCAGTTTGACTTTGGTCAGTTAAAAAATCATAAATAACAAGAAAGTCATTTGCATATATGGTGTTTTTAATTTCTTTGCACGAATATTTTTAAATCAAAATTTTTTAACTTAAAGTTCCAATGTCAATAAAATTTCATTCGCTATTTACCTAAAGACCGATTTAGACGACACAACTTTTGCTTACAACCATCGCATGCAACCTGTGTAAGTCATCCTTACGACATGGCTACAACTGTCGTAGGGATTTTAAGCAATTGCTTAATAGCCTCAAGACAGTTGACAGTTGACTTACGCAGGTCGCATGTGTCGTCTAAATCGGCCTTTTAAAAAGTTTAGAATTGCAATTATTCCTGGGAATAAATTTTTTGTCATCGTTATGTCTCAGTTTTAAAGAGAAGAAGAGCAATAATGGGATAGACTGCATCTCTATGGGATTTTATTTGAGTCTACCAGATTTTTGCAGAGCTATACTCTAACTACTTCAAATTCTAAGCAAATTCTGCTAATACAAATTGAGTGATTCCAGAAACCTGTAAGGGACTTTAAACGTGTAGCGCCCGTACATTTCTTTAGTACCAAGCGTCGGAATATTCA